CCTATCGTAGATTCCAAATATCACCAATACAGCAGTCGTTCTGTACATTGGATCTCAAAAGATGTAGAGACTCTTTGGCCCATGAAGCCTTTATCATGTGACTCTTTCACTAAAGAAAACTAATCCGTTTTAAGTACTTTAGGAAAAACATTAATATTAAGTAATTAAAAAATATCGCTATTTTATCTTCATATGTATAAATTAATGCTCTAGAATCTGGATCGCTTGCTAATATTATTTGTCGTAGCACTTATGATTATTAAGTAATCAATTGATAATCTAATCTCTGTAAATGTTAATTTTCATAACAACCTAGACTTGAGCACGACTAGTCAGCTACACTCTAATTTACTAGTCATTTTATATTCACTGTTAAATTGAATAGTTGTATTTTAATTGTACTCAATAGGTAGTCTTTATGAAGCAAATGGTTTACATTAATTACTTGATAACATATTCCGTAATTGTTTCCTTTAAACCTTGGCTTTGAGTCACTTAAATTGCTATTAAACGTGCAATATTAATCACAATGTAAACTACAAATTGTTTTATGGTTTGTTTGTTCCATATCGTTGCATCGTCATCTTTCTTGCTTGCTTAAGCCTTTTATGCGCTTTGCTGAAATCGGTGCTATTTGTCTAAGCGGTGGTAGGTAGAGTCACATGTATAGCTTTAGCGGTTATTCTTGGAAGCCATTTTTGACAATATCCTTAAAGATATCACTTCCTAACTCTCTAGGAGTCACTCTATTACAATACTGGTCGGGACTACCTAACCAGTAGTACTTTCCGTACGTTAGGTAACCAAGTAGGTAATTTAATACCGCAGACATAGCCACAAAGCCGCGCACTGATTCATTATCGCGCCAGGATAGATAACGTCCAACTACAAAGGCGGCAATTAAAGTGATAAACGACGATTGTCGTGTCCTTTGCCCACAATAAATACACCATCGAGTCTTGAAAGATATTATTTCACGCCTGTTTATAATCATTAAGAGCTATTGTCAACAGTTCTGATATTTGAATTGAATGCTTCCATAGTCGCCACGACGGTATCGCGCCGATTGATCAGCAGATAACATCTAGTTATAGTGCAAATGTTGCAGGTTAAGTGCCCCGGCGCCTGCGCATACGTTTGCGCTCGAGTCGTGAAAACAACCTGTTACGTTAGTCATCTTATTGCCATTTATGTACAATGCGTTTCTGAATAACGCACAGTGCGAACGGAAATACGATTGTAATGACACAACTGTTACTGGCCGATTTCAATACGTCACCAGCGATGGCCATAAATAGCAATTTTATTTGAGGCCTAAAAAAGATATTTCTTGATGTTTGGATGACACATCGCGCGCGGGAATTCTCCTTGTTTGCAAAGGGCGCTTGATGGAGCCGCCCACGGCGCCGCCCCCGCTGCGCCTGCGCCACTCCAACGGGCTCGAGTGCTTAGTGACGTCACACGAGATTGACACGCGCCTATTATGACGAAACAGACATTTCTAATTTGATGAACTCACAAGTTTGACTAATCCGTTTTACTTATAATGAACAGAGCGAGTCAAATGTTGTAATTTGGTATTCAAAGCCCGAGAACTATTTTCTTTTATATAATATAGCTTTCCGCCCGCGGCTTCGCCCGCGTGGATTTTTGTCTGTCACAGAAAAACTTTATCGCGCGCGTCCCTGTTTCAAAAACCGGGATAAAAACTATCCTATGTTCTTTCCCGGGACTCAAACTATCTCTATGCCAAATTTCATCAAAATCGGTTGCGAGGTTTAAGCGGGAAAGCGTAACAGACAGACAGAACAGACAGACAGACAGACAGACAGAGTTACTTTCGCATTTATAATATTAGTTGGGATGGAAATGACTGATACTCGTAACATAGGAAAGTAAGCCCAATGGCTCTGTATATAATAAATAACAAGAAACCTTAATTAAACGTGTCGCTTATGGTAGTGTACTCCGTTTGCATATTTATGATGCAAATGAGTAATTTTCTGACTAGCCCTGCGTTGGCTTTCTCCAAGGAAATTCCCACTATGTTAGAGCTGATGAAATTCTACGAAACTATTTTATGATACGTTTATTAAGCATACTGGAAAATATTGTTTGCCTATTATGATACCATTATTCATTCGTTAGGTATCTATCTTCCTACATATTCGTAGTATAGAAAGGTAATAAGATGTTTCACTTCCTAACAACTAATAAAGTAATCGTAAGGAAACCTGTAGATACTTATTGTGTTTTGATTAAGAGATTGTCACACCCCTTGTAGAGGAGAGGGAACAAAATAAAGAAAAGATAGACAATAGGTTCTTAGGTTTAATAGGTGGGTTCACAATTATAAACGACCGAATGTGTGTAACTCAGTTCCGTCACTATCACTGTCCTGCAATTCCGTCGCGTAGCTCCAGTAAGGACCTGTAGATACTTATTGTGTTTTGATTAAGAGATATTTGAAACAAAGATGTAAAAATGTGTTTTCACCTACATTTAACAAAGTCTGCCGATAAAGGCAAACATTGTCATTTTATCGAAAATGAAGAAACTAAAATGTAATTTTTCTTGATAATGTTTATGTTAGACAGATCTCATTCTGTTATATCTACAATTTACCCAAAAGGTCAGGATAAAAGGACATTTAAGGCTATCCCAAGGGTCCGTACCTCACGAACCAATCCTTAAAAGGGTTAAGGCAGTACGTTTTTCTTGCCAATAGGTATTTTTGTACGAATACTTATGGACTTTTATGAAAATCTGTTTCTAACCGACATTTTGCAACATTATATTTGCCCTGAAACCTTTAAAATTCAGTCAATACATTTACGACTGCAAATTATTTTGTCACTAGGTACTTGGTATTTAATTTTACTAGGTACGGCTAATTACAACAATACTTTTATACTTTTTAGTTCATTTATTTTATTAGGTGCTCAACATAATTATGGAATTTAGCTTCTTGTTTTGGAAACTATGTAATTTCTAGTAAAAAATGGACTTATTTAACATTTTCAACAGTTACACATATTGTATGTATAAGCAGCTCAGTTATATGATATTATATACTTATGTATATTATTTAGTTCTATTTATTGATTGACGAAATGAATTAGTCATCATAACATTCTAACGGCTATTTCCACATGCAGTCCTTGGAAAGGTTAGAAGAAATTGGCACTGCTTCAGTAAACAATCAATGTCTAAATGTGAACCTTTGTATAGTCGATAAATCTATGAAACTCATTCAATTGTAGGTAGATATGAAATATAGTAAGTGCCTACGGGTTAACCTTTGAAAATAGCTTTCCGTGCACACCTACAGGCAGTCTTCGTTATATGTAGATTTTATTGACATAATTATGTACTTTTCGCCGAGTCATGATCTATATTCTGCATGCGACTATGACGTGTATGTTGGTTTGTAAAAGACTCTACTAACATATAGGTTGGGTAGTTGTTATGACCAATTAATTGATACACTTTTTATGAGCTATCAAAATATAGCTTTCCCATAGAAGTAAGAAAATCAATAAGAATATTATCCGTAGTTTGATATGGTTATTGGTTTAATAAAGTAACTGTTCTATTAAGCTGATTGTACTATATCGTTTCAGGATTAGAACTAAGTTTTTTAGAAACTACACAGCTAAATAACTCTGCTCTTAGGTCTAAACCCTTAGCAGCGTGCGTACTCGTTTTAAAAAAATATCCAACTTCCTCTCTAAAATTACGGCGTTAATTATAAGTAAAAGTTAACATGGCATAATAAAAACATAAACATGATATCACAAAGGTCTATTCGTGTATTAAGGCAATTAAGATAGTTATCGCTGCCATAAAATTAACTAAAGGCGATGAGTTCACAGCTCATACCTATGCGATTTGCTAACAGAAACCTGTGATTACACATGTGGCGAAGCTCCCCATATAAATAGACCTTTGTTTCACACCAGGGATGTTATGGATATCCGTAACCGTAACCGAAACTATCGGATATCCGAAATAAAAAATATCCGTAACCGCAACCGAAACCGATTCAAAAGTTTCGGAAAAAGGCGGAGTCTAAATCTTAATATTTTCAATTTTTGTTACTTGTCTGGCATCCCCTGGCACCATTCTGTTATCCCCGCCTGTTTTACCTTTATCATAGGTACCGTCATAGTACATACTCGTAAAGTGGCTATGTAGGTCGCGCAGCATCTTGCTATTAGAATTTTACCTTTTTAAAATTCTAATATCCATAACCGAAGTTATCCGAAACTTTCGGATAATCCGAAATGTTTTACTATCCGTAACCATAACCAAAACCGGTATAATATTTTTCTAATATCCGTAACCGTATCCATAACCGAAACTTCATATCCATAACATCCCTGTTTCACACTTACGTTTGCCTTCAGACAACGCTATGCTAACAAATTACCTCTAAATATTAACTACGGGCACGTTGGTTAGAGAAACATAGAGCTCTGTTAGTTGGAATGCACACGATATAATCTTACTTTACATTCAAACGTCTTAAATACCTTTGTAATTATTTAATTATACTGTAATCGGAAATAAAATAGCAATGGCAAGATACAAATTATACCAGCATAATTTACGAACAAACAAACGTTGTTCAATGATTGTCTTTCAAAGTACCTACGAGTATGTTCACTTTACCATAACTTTTTACTCGTAGTAGAGTTAGGTTGAGTTGCACCATGTAAAAACAAAAACACCGGTTATCGTTATAGTTACGGTTAAAGTTAGGTGGTGCAACTCAGCTTTATTGTTTATTCACAAATGAGCGTTTTAACTTTTTAAACAACAGTATACTTAAGTCAGCCTTTCTTAGTCTGAACTAAGTTAAACCTGTGTTTCAATTCCTCCTGTATTAAATAAAAGTGGTGTAAGTGGACTGTTCGTGGCATGACATCATGCCTAAGATGACCAATATAGACATAAAGCTATGGCTTCCAATATTAACACAAGTGTCATTGTTGCAGGTAACAGCTCCCAAGTTCCCCGTGGTGATCAAGATAGGGCACGCGCACAGCGGCGTGGCCAAGGTGAAAGTGGACTCCCTGGCCGACTTCCAGGTAAACCATTACAACATTAATAAGCGAATCTGGTTCATATCGGACTTTACCGCATAAAGGTACAGGCACACTTCGTTCGTTCGTTCGTTTCAGCCGAAAGACGTCCACTGCTGGACAAAGGCCTCCCCCAAGGATTTCCACAAAGACCGGTCCTGCGCCGCTTGCATCCAGGTACCACCCGCGACTTTCACCAGATCGTCGGTCCACCTAGCGGGAGGCCTGCCCACGCTACGTCTTCCAGCTCGTGGTCGCCACTCAAGAACTTTCCTGCCCCAGCGGCCATCAGCTCTTCGAGCTATGTGCCCCGCCCAATGCCACTTGATTTTAGCGATTCTGCGGGCTATGTCAGTCACTCTGGTTCTCCTACGGATCTCCTCATTTCTGATTCGATCATTGACAGGCACACTTATCAACCCGGAAAGGGATCAACATCGCTTTGCCTTTCGCCGCGCTGTCAACCGCGAGGCTATAGGTAGGCCGGTTAAATGAGTCCTCGCCTGCGGAACGCGGGGACACAGGGGCGTGACGAAAACGGGGACCGTACGGGGTGCGGGCGGCAGGCGCATTCTTGTCAAAATTCATTTCGCTGGCGATGCGGCTAGCGATCGCTTGTGTTTTTTGTTACGGACGCTTTGTGAGGGCTATACATGAGATTACATTTTTAAGATGAGTCGAAAGATTTTCGGACAAAATTAATAGTCAGTGCAAGCAAATAGCTTTTAACGTTTATGAATATTTTAGAAAAAAAAAACTGGATCCAAATTCTGATGAATATCAACAAGATATACCATTAAACAAAACCGTAGCAAACGTTACTGGACTATCGGAAAAGACTGTACCCAGAATTGTACAACAAGGAAAATTATTAAAAAACAACGAAAAATTTAAATCACCGAAGAAATTTAATTTCATCATTTTAATTTTTTTAATTTTCATACAACAAAAAATTTATAAAATCCGATTTGTATGAAAATTAAAATAATTAAAATGAAGATATCAATTTTCTGACTTCACCATACCATTTATATGACCATGTTAACATGGGTTAGTGTCGGCTCATATACCCATTTACCTAACACCCTGTATAAAATTGATGAGTTATTGAAAGCAAAGGGCCATGAAGTGTTGCGTTTGCCTCCTTACCACCCAGACCTGAACCCAATTGGGTTGGTCTGGGGTGATATAAAAAGACAGCTAGCAGAAAAAAGTATCGACTCCAATTTGGACCAGAAAAAAATATGTTGGAAAATTTATTTGCTGAATATTCCGCAGAAAAGTGGGAGCATTGTAGAGGATGAATACTGCGAACACGACGGAGTTCTAGATGACGTTGTTGATTTTATTATTAATGTGCACGATGATTCAGATAATTCGGATGATGGCTGCTTTGAAAGTGAAGAATCAAGTTCTAGTGATATTGATATGGACATAAGTGATTGATTAATAATTTGGATACATCTTGCACACAATAAATTTTGCATGAAATACGACATGAATTGTTACATTAAAATTTTATAAAATAAATTATTTTCTTTATTTTAAAATAAATTATTTTCTTTATTTTAAAATAAATTATTTTCTTTATTAAAAATAATTTATTTTCTTTATTAGAAAATAATTTATTTTACAAAATTTATCACCGCCTGTTTACCGTTAACCACTTCACTGTGACGTCACATATCTTGAGAACTATCTAGTGAAATTTTATCTCTTTTATATCATCCCCGCCCGCACCCCGCACGGTCCCCGTTCTCGTCCCGCCCCTGTGCCCCCGCGTTCCGCAGGCGAGGTCTCATTTAACCGGTCATACTATAGGCGTTTACGTGACGGAGCTGCGCAAAGTGTGTGGAGTACGGAGTTTCATACAAAGAATACTGACCGCTACTTACCGTTCATACGGTTGCAATCCGTTTCCGGGTTGATAAGTGTGCTATGACCTTTATCTATGTTCATGTTAGCCCCTCGACGATCCAACAAAAACAAACTTTGCTAACAACTACTTGGTATCGACATCTGTGAGATAAAACAGAAGCTATGGCTGTCCTATTAGATACGTGGGTATTCTATCTTGGTAAATTGTAAGCAGAGGAAATATTTGGTGCTTTAAACTACAAGATTGATTGGACCTGCCTATCTCTTTGACTACTTATTTATATCATAAATGACGTTTAGTTTCCTTTTGGTTGGTGAAAATTTTACATACGTAAAAGTAACCATTTTCATTTCAGGATATCGCTGGCGTAGTGGCCATGCTGGGAACGTACTGCACCGTGGAACCGTACATCGATGCCAAATACGACATCCACATACAGAAAATTGGAACCAACTATAAGGCATTTATGTAAGTATCTAGTGTTTTATATGGACAAAGCGACATCACTCAACTGGGATAAGTAACTAAATTTTGAGAGACACGAAAGTAACAAAATAAAGAACACGTAACAAAAGTGCGGCAATTATTTTTAATTGTTTTGTACTCGTATGTAAACATTTAATATTTTAATTTCAAATACATTACGCCTACTAAGAACATTAAAGTTTATACTCGCCCGAGACTAAATTTAATAACTCCGCAGGCGTTTTGTAATAACTTCAATGTTTAGCGTTTGATCTAATTAACGAGCCTTAACGTGATCTTTTTTAATGAAATTTTTGTTTCAGGCGCAAGTCTATTTCTGGAAACTGGAAGACTAACCAAGGATCAGCCATGTTGGAAGCTATCGGCATGAACGACCGATATAAGATGTGGATAGACGAGGTAAAACATTCAAAGATTTAATCTCTTGCGGAGGAATTGTTTGTTAAAAAAGAGCCGTATTGGTTGCAGATTGATGTCAGAATAGACCTATAAAAGTATTGACCGGTATAAACCTTATCCCTCGCTATTTGGGTTGATAAATTTTAGTCCATAAACTTCCAACAGTGCTTAACCATCTTCAGTTTCCAAATTGTCCGATGTTATACTTATAAATGTAAACTCTGCATCTCCACAATCTCTGAATTTTTCAGGTGAGCGAAATCTTCGGAGGTCTGGAAGTGTGCGCACTGGAGCTGGTGGTGGGCAAGGACGGGCGCGAGCACATCATCGAGCTGAACGACTCCGCCACCTCGTTCATGGGCGACTCGCAGGAGGAGGACCGCCGCCATCTTGCAGAGCTGGTGCTGCAGCGCATGCAGGTATATTAATATTGAATTCAAAGTCTACTGCTAGATGTCTCATGACGTAATGCGCGTTAGAGTTAGATGTAGGCAAGGACGGGCACGAGAACATCTTCGAGCTCAACGACTCCACCACCTCGTTCATGGGCCACAGTTCGCAGGGGAAAGTCCACCGCCATCTTGCTAAGCTGGTGCTCCAGCGTATGCAGGTCAATTTAAGTATGATTTATTCTTATTATTCTTTCGATTCCGGCCAGATCCAGAGTAAAGGTCTACTAAGCATCTTCAAGCATCTCATCTTAAGTCTTTATTTGGAAATTTTAAAGGAAGGCAGAAAATAATTTGGTTGAGAGGTTGTGTTAATATAGTGAAAATTCCTTCCTTTTGATTACTTTTGTTCTTGAACTCATAAAAAAAATTGTACTTCCAGGCTGTATGCCGGCCAGGGATAACAAAGACGGCATCCCGAACATCAGTATCCGGCAGTTCCGCAGCAACGTCGCCCGAGGAGCGCACCATGCCGCTGCCAGGGTCGGGCCCGCCCAGTGTGCCACCGCCCGCGCCGCTCGCAGCTGCCACCAGCATCGACCGGCCACTGCCTCCCATCCCGGCTGAGCCGTCGCAGCCGCCGCCACCGCCTCTGACGCGGCGTGACTCGCAGGGTAAGTTACAAACATTTGTGACGCCTGAATGACAACGTTAAAGTAGCCGTATAATTTGTAGTAGTAGTAGTTTGTGGTAGGTTACCATCAGGAGATGACAAGAACTCTATTATTAAGGTCATGTCTGTCTGTCACGAGGTTGTCTCTTTTATTTATGTATTTACATACTTCAAAGCATGTTGTAGGTACAAAAGTAAAATTTAATTCTCTCCAAGGCAATTTTTGGGTCAAACAGAACCCACATGACGATGTACCTAGGTAAAGTATGTTGACATGGCAATTGGTAGACATTTACAACCCTTTTCAACCAAAAGACTTGAACTGCTGGCACAAAGGCCTTCCCCAAAGATTTCCACAAACACCCGCAAGGGCGCTTCTCTCATGCAAGTGACCATTCTAGCTTTTGATGTCGTATACCCCTAGGAGATAATTCCCATCTAATATAACAGGTGTTTCGCCAGCTTCCCAGTCGTCAACCGTGTCCTCGGCATCGGCAGCGCCAAGCACAGCCAGCAGCTCTGCCCAGCCTAGCGCGGCGCCCTCGGGCTCCGCCGCCGGCCGCGGGGGCTTCGCGCGGCAGGGCTCCCTCAGCGCAGCCCTCACCGAAGACGCAGAGGATACCATGAAGAACTTACGGAAAACATTCGCCGGAATCTTCGGCGACATGTAAAACAACTGTAACTTTACAGAGACGCGCACATCCTCATCAACACAAACATTGAACCGTATATTTTTTTCTTAGATTCTGAAAAATCGTACGGCTCTTATAATAGTAGAGCTATATTCACCATTAGGTTGGTGCCGCATTACGTCTTCCACTTTAAGGAATTTACAGAAGTTAACAAGTCATATTTACACGTGTTATCTATAAAACAAAAACACATTTCCGCAAACAATTCATTCAGCAATATGTATTTAAAACCATGAACTGACGCAGTTGGATTGAAAAAGAAACTAAAGCTAGCAAGGCTGAAGACTACCCAAATTGCCATGCCTGATGTGTGTGTAAATACGATTTTAAAAGACAGTTAAAATAATGGTAAATTAGTAAACTCAATGAATCTTTTGTAAATCACCATGCGCGTCTCTTATTTGCTACAAAATAATATTAGTGTTAATTTGTTTAAAATAATTTTACAACAGAAAAGAATAATGTAATGAAAATATCGCAATAGAAAGTCGAGACATCAAATACAGGATAGGAGACACATAATCATAATACTCTCAGATGGCATTCCGAGTTACACCTGTTTTGTAGGGACCACCCTTCGAACCGAGTGTCCGTTGCGCAAACCGCGTGAGAAACAAGAGTAAGCATAGTTTTAATGTAAAATAACTATAGATTTTTTACAATAAGTTTATTATAAATATGAAAATACGAATCAACTGAGCTGCATTGTGATCGATCCCGTTCGATACCGGCGCGCGCGCCGCGTGTAGTGTTTTTTCACTGTCTCGGTGTCCCTTCTACACTCGCTACACGTCCTTAGGAGAACACGACCGATAGGTACTTCGACTAACTTTCAACGTCACTTGTTTCTTTAGATTAATGTTATTTGAAGGGTGAATAAACTTGGTGGCAATAAGTAGGGTGAATGATCGTAAGCTAACATTGTGTATTGTCTCAATTTCTAATGGAAGCGTGTTGCTGTCCATTTTGGCATTAACATGTTTTGAATTTGATAACAAAATGTCTGTTTAAATGACAACATAAGAGTTTTTTAATAACTTTACAAGAACTTTGAAATTTTGTGGTCCTATTAAACCAAAATTGTTAGCAATTGGGATGTGAGCAATGCTATTTAAGACAATATTGTTATATGCAAGAATTGATTCACATTTTATATCTTATTACTAGTTGTATCTCATAGCTTTAAGAACGTCTTGTTAATACTGTATGCTCTTCAATAAGTTTTTTACTGCAAATCTTATTTGCTATGATGGTTTTACTGTCATTGAGAACCTCATTTGTATGATTGTAGTTTTGCCTGTACACCTTTGATCACTTTATAATCATGTGATTTTCTTTTTCTTTGTTACTTCTAGTTTATCTAGTTTTCAAATGTGAACCTTGCGTGAGCTAAGTCTGATTGTTGTCATATCAGGGACGTTGGTGTTATTCATCGCATCAAGTGCATTGTGCTTTCATATCTCTTTAGCGAAATTTACATTTAAGCTACTTCATAGTGAACTATTCTTTAGCTAATTCGGATCAAAGTAGATAATTATAATATGTGTAGTTGAAATATATGCGCATAAATGCGCTGGAATTTAATATTCAGTAATCATTGTAAGAAATATTTACGTTACGTGTTACAATATTATTACAGAACAGTAATAACTACCAGCCCACTTGTTATTGTAGATTTTACAACGAAAATAGCTATACGTATAATGTAAGAACAACTCATTATGTTAAGGCATTCCTGAAAATAGGGTTATGAAAACTGGCGTTGGGTTGTAATATTGTTTTGGTGGTTATTATTTCATTTTGCAGTAGAACGTAATGTTACTTGTCGATTTTAGGATGATTTGTGTTAATCGGTACGGGGCCTTGACAGAGTGTCATACCTCTATACAATACGATAGGTATGCTTAGATAAACTGCACCCGTAGCTAGAATTTGACACGAATCTCTTAGCATACAACCACGGCGTACGTGTAATATACATAAGTGTCTATAAAAAGCGCAATTAGATAATTATTACTATTATAATGCATTATTATAAATGAAGTGTCGCGGTTTTGTTAGTTTTGTATTATAAAACAGTGTACGAAGAGTTTAGTTACCTATCAAACACTTTGTTATTTATGTAGATTATTTTAAATATTTTGACGTTCAAATAATGTTCTGTCTTTGTTAATTGTTAAGATAATAATATGAACACTAAAGTTAATATAATGCTGTTGTTGTTGTTGCTAATCGAGTTATACAATATGTATCAATATGGAAATGATGAATAGTGTTTCCAAAGATTGTCATGATAAAAATTAAATTCGATGAGAGGCATGTGTATCGTCGTAGTGGATTGTGACGCCTCCTTTACTATTTATCGTGATTTAATCTTTTATTATAAGACATGGTTTGTCACAAAGTAATAAAACAAGCAATTAACAAATGCTATTAATGTATACTAGTAACAAATAAAAATAAACATCATACATACTCGTTATGATGGTAACCAACTCGAAAATTATTTTGTGACGACCATGTCTATGTTCGAATGGAATATGTTAATGGAATTTGAATGCATGTTAATCTATATTATAATAATATAATAAACACCTCTTTTGGTAAGTCAATACCTACCGATATTGGCTCTAGTTGTTTCATTTTAGAATTACCATCTAACTAAAGTAAACACAAACTATCTAAGTATTTAGCGTAAACAAGAAAACAAACATTACAATAATAAATTACCTTTTATTAATTCAAAATCAAAATTAGCAAATTATTTTAAAAGTAGAGCGTTTTATTTAATAAAAAATTGATCATTAATTACACAAAAAGCATTATCAAACTCACGCCAATAACACAGAAAACAAAATCAGCGAGACAGACAAACAACAAATGCGACCACATTTAATTTTCCATCTGGAAATTAACATAACTTGATTATTACTTTCATATGATCTGCCTTTGTGTGACTTAATTTTTACACGATTTAAAAATATTTATTAAAACAATTACTGTACTCTCAAAAAAGTAATATCTCTACCTCTGTATTTTGGCACTCAATTAACGTAATCGTCCAACGTTTATAGGTACTAGAGAATATAATATTGAAACTTATAGGTAAAAAACAATCAAATCCAAGATTTTTAACTAATTTCTAGAAAACTAAGAGTTCCGTCTATTTGTCTCTTAGTGTTTCTTTCAGATACTTTTAAAATCCTGAATTTATTTCATGTTCCATTCTGTACCTAATCATAAGTTACTTCAAACCCTTAATTTACTGAAAAATGCCTTGTTGAGATATAAAGGTTTGTTATTTAAAGATACTCACCATCACCAATATACGATAGACTAGCTGTGCCCGCGACTTCGTACGCGTGAAAACCCGTTTTCGCAACATTTTTCATTTTTGCTCTGCACCTATCGTATTACTCGTAGCGTAATGATATACAGGGTGACTGGAACTGAACCCGCCATAGCTAATACGCGTATAGAGGAGGTCATTTGCTAATTATTGAACCTTACTTTCTATGGCTAAAGTGTTATAGTTTAGGAGATATGTAAATTTTTATACTTTTTTCAGATTTTTCCGAAATTTGACCTAAAAACTGCTTAAATTTTTTTTCTCGCATGATTTTAACCGATTTTTTTATTTGATACTAATATCAAATAAACCTTGAGTCAAATAAAATAAATTCAGATCTAGATTATGATTCAATAACTAGTTACGAGCCGTCAAAGTTCAACAAAAGTACAAACCACGATAAAAATTCAAGTTTGAATTCGATTTAAAAAAAAACTGATGGTGATAATGGATTGCCAATGATCTTAAAAATATCTCTACCTTCTCTTCTTTCCAATGATATATCACACGTAGTAATTAGATATTGAAATTTATTAAAAATTTAAAGTTTATGAAAGAAAATGGAGTAATAATACGGAAATATCCATACAAAGTTTCTTCAAACATCTCATATTATCTGCTATACTCCTTTTCATAACTATTTTTGTGTGCTTTTTGAAAAATGATTTTAAAAATAATAATCACATTATGAAGAAAAGAGTTTAAAAAAATTCAAAATCAACTTTGTATGGATAATTTTTGTATTATTACTCCATTTTCTTCCATAAACTTTAAATTTTTGACAAATTTCATTATCTAATTACAACGTGTGATATATCATTGGAAAGAAGAGAAGCTAGAGATATTTTTAAGATCATTGGCAATCCATTATCACCATTAATTTTTGTTTCAATCGAATTCGAAGTAGAATTTTTTATCGTGGTTTGTACTTTTGTTAGACTTTGGCGGCTCGTAACTAGCTATTCAATCATTATCTGGATCAGAAATTTATTTTATTTGAATAAAGACATATTCTATATTAATATCAAATAAAAAAAACTGTTGAAATCACGCGAGAAAAAAAATTGAAGCAGTTTTTAGGTCAAATTTCGGAAAAATCTGAAAAAAGTATAAAAATTGACATATCTCCTAAACTATAAACTTTAGTCATTGAAAGTAAGGTTCAATAATTAGCAAATGACCTCCTCTATACGCGTATTAGCTATGGCGGGTTCAGTTCCAGTCACCCTGTATAGCCTATAGCCTTCCTCAATAAATAGGCTATCTAACACTGAAAGATTTTTTTTAAATCGGACCGGTAGTTCCTGAGATTAGCGCGTTCAAGTAAACAAACAAACTCTTCAGCTTTATAATATTAGTACCTATAGATTATTATACAAGTAGGTACTACGATAGATTATATCTAACTACAGAGAACTACATCTAATGTCCTATGTTTTTTTTACTGAAATATCTGTGTCTCAAGATCACGAATAGCCGACAGGGTCCATGCCGGTGTTGAGGCTATAGTTCCGGTACATTCCGGCAGCAGCGAGCCGGTTGGTGAACGTCTGGCCAGCCGGGAAGAACACGGATGGCACGGAGTGGATGCCTGCAATGATAATGCTACTGGTATACGACTGGGATGAGGTTTAAGAAGCGACAATAACCCCAATAGCCCTTGTGTGTTTGTCTCGAAAATTGGCATCGACGGCACGGCCTGCATGACAGCCGGTTTGTGACAAACTGAATTTCACGTAGATGGCGCCGCGGGAAAAAGTTTTAATAAATATTTGCCTACAGTAGTGCATTCAGGTACCAATAACCAGGGATGTGAGACTATGGAAGTAAATTGAAAATAAAAAAAAATGCTGTAATGTAAGTATTGTAACTTCAGCATTTTGTAGTAGAGATTGTAATTTTAGGAGAATCCAATACGTTTGTAATCATGGGCATACTACCTGACTGAATCATTAATCTTAACCATTTGCTATATAATTTATTGATGGGAAGTATAATTTATCCAAGTTTAAATTGAAGGACTACTAGCAGGTAATAAAAAAAGATTTGTAAAAGTGAAAAAATATTTTATTACATAAAAAAGTAACATAACATTATTATTACAATAACGAACATACAGTGTCACTAATTTAAACTTAACTCATCTCTTACTTATTAAAAATAAATAACACTTATTGAATATCTTAAAATAATTGTTCCAATTCAATAATATAAAGTCTTATAGGTACTTTATCCACAACTTATTTATAAACTTAATAACAAAATAATTTTTACTTCAATGCAAATTAAAACTTAATGGGACATTGCGGTATAGGTAAAAATTTGAAGTGTAACAAGTAAAAGGTACATAAATTTTCAATTATTTGTAGCCCGTAGGATCACGACCGGTGTTCAGCGAATAGTTCCTATACATGCCGGCCTGAGCCAGCTGACTGGAAAATTGCTGGCTCTTCGGGAAAAACACAGAGGGCACGGAATACGGACCTAAAAGATTTTCATGGAATGAAATAGGCATATCAATTGTCTGACAGTCACACGTGACGCATCTGTAGGTTACTCATGCATAAAAAGCTTCAATCAATATTGATGAATTTATTGAAATAACAACCAAAATTGTATGAGCAACGAAGTAAAAAATATATTTCATGTAGAGTTTTACTCTTACAATCGCATTTCAGCTCTACGAGCTATGTGCCCCGGGCAGTAAAGTTCTTAAGTGGCGACCACGAGCCGGAAGACGTAGCATGGACAGGCCTCCCACTAGGTGGACCGAAGATGTGGTGAAGGTCGCGGGAGGCGCCTGGATGCGAGCGGCGCAGGACCGGTCTTTGTGGAAATCCTTGGGGGAGGCCTTTGTCCAGCAGTGGACGTCTTTTGGCTGAAACGAACGAACGAACGAATCGCATTTAAGGGAATAATAACTAGTAGGTAGTTAAAGTACGAGATAAAATGTATCGTTACCTGGTGGATACCATCCGTACACACTCGCAGAGGTCCTGTAAAACGGATGCTGCCGGCTCACTTGGCACCCGTAACCGTTGAACCAGTCTGTTAAGATGAAATATTACATTAAAAGTATGCCATAAAAGCATTGATCAGAAAATGTGGCACATTTTATAAAGTCGTTTGCCTGAAAATTATGCCTACTATTATGTGGCGGTCACAACTGATGATTAGAATAGTACCACAGGGTATGATAATAAACTCTATCAGCTTAATCAAAGGTTGGTATGTTCACAATAAAGCGTCCTACACAAGACGGTGCTAATTTCGTTTGCTTTCTCCGTAGAGAGTGTTCTCTAAAGTCAATTCTCTGACATTCTAATTCACATACAGGACACTGCATGCTCTTTGTGAAAATATCGTACAGCGCACAGTGCTTGACATTCTATCTAAACTGGGAAACAACATTCAGTATTTGTTTACTAAAGGCTCTCTAGATCTTACCCGTTCACTACTTATAACCCGGAGGTGACAAACCACAGGAAAAGTTAAGACCATTGTTAGTCCAACCTTCTCAGAAAATCAATGCCTTAGAGCTTTGTCTTAAATCAAGCCAGTACAAATAGCGCCAAGAACACAAGTAAGCCGGATATCGATTAGTTAGTGCTCATCACCCGCATAAACTCCGGGGTTCACTGACTCAATAAGTACTAACTTGACTTGTACTAACTCTATCAAGTCGTTAAACTGTTTGCACTCTTATTCTTTTTTCGACAAATAGAACACTGTCTTTGAACTTTTTGAGGATAATTTAACGTATCAAGAAAAGGGTAGGTATGAAAGAACAATTAAACTGTGAATTAGAAGATACACATTCCTGCCTCAATAAGAATTGTTTGAAAGAGGTGGAAAACATCATTAGGGTTTACGAAAAAACTTAAGCCAGAACAGGTGATCATGGCTAATCGTACAGTCTAACCCCTTAGTTGTTTACCACACGATAGAAGAAGAACGTAGTAACCCAGGAGACTGATCATAAATGCCTGGAAATAGTGATGTTAAGATAACAACAAAATTTGATACTTACGAGGATGCTCGAACCTCTTGGGAAGATTACAGGTGGCGAAGAAATCCGAGGTCTTCTGATCGGGTTTCTTTATTTCCTCCTGCAAGCTTGCTCTGTCCGTACAAACAGCAGAACAGAACCCTGGTCGCATGTTCTCTGGAGTTGGTTCTTCTGGTACAAAATTTGCGCCCCCGCTCATGGTTAAAAGAAATTAATAAAACGAAAGATAAAACAAGCCTTCCAAACTTGCAAACGTCTCCTTGACAACTTATTGATATGCGATTTCCATAGATACTGTTTATGAAGACGGAAATGATATGAACGATAATGAACAAGTAGGTCACATCATTTATAAGATGAGCTATGGTAGGCTACGGCCCGATCTTAGGCCCGATACAATCGGCAGAACTTAATTTTTTGCTGTAAAATCGCTCTTAGCAAAAATCTATAACGTTTAAGCTATTTGTACTGTCGCGTCGTCTGTACTGCTAACTATACTTCATGTTTTACTGAAGATGGTGTGGTTATATTAGACGGGATTTACAAAGAAAGCTCTATAACTCCTTCTACACAAAATGTACAAATCAACATTTCAAATTCATGTTCTTTGTTAGTAATAAAGGTCCTTTTCAGGGCACTTATACGTCCCGAATATACAGCTGAAACAAGTTAAGCATAATTCAAAAAGTATAATGTTTTCTAAAGTAAAAATATACCCATGACTTAAATAATAAAATACCCTTATCGATGTGATACCTATTTATATGCACAATAATTAACTCCACTATTCAATAAATGAATGCCTTATCAGTTTCTTTCATTTTAGGGACAGCGTACACATAAAACGTTTTTTAGTACGTATCTTTAAAATATTATAGTTACATTTAGAAAATATTTAAGTACATACAAAATTACGTGAAAGAATAAGAATTGTATGATTTTGAAGTGAAGTTAATAAAAGAATTAAACATAATACCCACTTAAACCTGAATTACTTACTTTAAAATTACAACTACTCTAACCATTCAAATAGACCGGTTATTCGCAAATTGCCATTCAATTAAATTCTAGAACTTAAATGTACATCCAGGCTTAACTCATTCGGCATGCATTCGGCTGAATATATTACTGTTATCAGCAGTATCAGCCGGCGACCGACAATACTGAGTGGGTGATTATCAGTCCCCCACCGCCTCGCATACATTACCCATCGCCTCGCCTATCATTATTTTAAACTCCAAACAATGGTCTAAAGCTTGACAGAGTGCTGATCAATTTTAATTTTTAGTTTCACATAAATCCAAGCCAATCAAGTTTAAAAAATTAAACTGACAAAGTTAAAGTCAAATTAGTGTCAATTTAGACGTGTTTACAAAAATATTTACAAAGTTCATCAAAATGCAAACAATAAACATCAACCAGCCTATAAATTTGAAAGTGGTAAGGTTCGAATTGGATTTCACTTCGCTCGTGACTGAAAAACCAAAGCCAGAGAAGAAAACTAAAAGAATAAAGTTGCCCGACTTCAAGTGCATAGCGAAGAAGCCTTCCGTGCCTCTGCCTCCAATTAAAAATAACACGCAGGTCAGTAATTCATTGCTATAACCTAGTAAGATAAGATCTACGGTCTTACCAACCCTTCATCCTTTGTTTAACTTTTTTGATTCTATAATAACTACTCTTCAGTCAGTATGATAATTACCGTTCTCTTGGTCCTTACCTAGAATCTTAACAACATGTAATAACTTTACACAATTTATAAACTTTTGGTACTAGCGGTAGGTACATACAAATTATGTATAGTGTGCGAAGAGTAAATACGCAAACAGCGTTAGTTAACTCCTGAATGAAGATTGACAGTCTCTCCATTAGAGTGCAACTATACTCTAACGCCGTGTTGGAACTTTGTAGTTTAGTTAGCTATTGTTCATACTTGTAATTAGATACAACTGAAAGATTCGCGCGGTAATACAAGAAATCCATACCCAATAGTAGATCTAATAATACTCGTAAGACTCAGGAATAAGACTGAGTGGCGTATATTGGTAGAGTCTTACGTCCAACAGTGGACATGCCATAATACATATTAATAAATAAGTTTTTTTTTAAATATAAGAAAAGGGATGTGAAAGACCTCATCGAGGAGTTACTGGACGAACTCTACGCTGATCAACGGGACTGGAGCAGTAACAGCGCTACTTATTGCAGTCGTGGGTAAGATTTTTCAGAAAGCTCCAATAATTGATTTAAATCCATAGTACCTATTACTCGCACAGAATTCTATTTCGTTTCATTGTCCAACAAAGCTGTTAACCTATTTTCTGAATCAAATCACTCAAAGTCGGACGTGCGTAAGGTTTTATAGGTATACTGACCCAAATTGTGGTATGAGACAACACTGAAATACTATAATTAATTTATTTGATTAATTATTTAATGACATTTTAATTACAGGTCCATATCAGTCGCATCAGTGACCTCATCGCAGTCGAACTGCGGTGAACAAACAGATGCTATTGAACGAAACTATCTGGAAGCTCTAGGTGCGTACGTAGGTCAATTAAAAAAAAACAGGCGCTCGTTAAAATTCTCCTACAATGTCATTGTATCTTTGTACCTTTCGCCCTTGACCCATAAAAGGGACAAAGGACAATGATATTCTCAAAGAGAGAGGTCATATCACGAAGTAAAGTAAGAAGTCAGTGAACTGACAATAGTTCTTGTAAGTTACATACGCCAATTTACTTGAATATTCAGATGTTCACAAAATGATTTGTCTCCAAAACTCGAATCTCATTAGACATACACGACTGCGGCATAAAAATGTTTCGTTATTTTCTTGCTGCCCTTTACAAATCCTCTTATTTTTATATCAAACAAAAACCGCTACGATATTTTATTTGCATAACAATACCTGTTTATTTTCGAAGCTAATATGGACCTCAATTTGCCCGCTCACCCTTTATTAGTTCTCTGATTACATTTTCAGTGGCTGCCCAGGGACTTTTTGAAATATTATCTACGTAGGCGGCTACGTATAAAAAATAGAGCTGGTACGATTGATTTAACAAGCAATCAAGTTGACTGTACAATACATTGATATTTATTTATTTAGGTATAGATGAGCTTCGGGAACAAGCAGCAGCGTGGGAAACGAGGTTAATGACGACAGGGGAGAAGTTGGCGAGAGGAGTTAGGGCAAGAGATCGGCTAAGAAGACAACAGAAGCGGCTGTGCGCCGCGTTTACAATACTTCTTCATCATATAAGTACGTAGCCTTAGATATATTAATTATACACGTAGTAAAGGTAGCAGCAAGGCGCTGGACGCAGGCCGCTACCAACAGGACAATATGGAAAGCATTGGGGGAGGCCTATGTTCAGCAGTGGACGTCCTATGGATGAGATGATGATAAACCATTTATCATTGTCTTCCCACTCTTTATGACGTCATTTACTTTACGAGTTTTGATATCTGTTAAAGTATTGATGAATAAGTGTATTGAGTAGACTTAAAAACTTGTTACGTGGCTTACTACGATTGTATAAAATTGTAATTAAATTCCTTTCCATCATGCTTACGAAGCCAGATATCATATAAATCAGACAAGTAGGTACCTTTAATAATGACGCCCTATCAATAAATAACTGGGATGATAAATGAGAAGATTTGAAGCATTTAGCGCGACGCTCTCGAGCCTGGTATAATTAATTACTGCTGTCATATTTCAATTTACATTTTATGGTGTTATACATTTTGCACAGAATGTTGGTAGGTATAGCTAAGTATCTACCCAATCTCATGGACAAAACTTCTTAGCTACATACGTCAGTGTGCGCGATGTTAAGTCGTTTCCATGAAACCATGTTTCTCAGAAGTAAAATAAATTAAATCGTGTACGCTGTATTATAAACCCATTAGGTACGCCAAAGTTGTATTAAAACTCATTTATTTCTGTAAATAGGCTTTAAAAAAGCACTTTTACATGTATAGCACCTAGCCGCAAACGACGGGCTTGAACAGTAAACGTTTAGAACAGTTTCATTCATAAGGGTTCAAAATAGCTTTACGCACATCAAAGGAAACTGGCCGCAAGGTGCTATTCCCGGCTATCTGTATCCGACACTGACGTACACAGCGGCAGCGAATCGATACGCGACGCACACAGACGCGGCGGCGACTCCCACTGCGCATGCCCCAATGCTGCCACTATGAAACGCTCCTCGATAACTTAACATGACAAAAGCCTATTCTCTACCTCCTCGGCGCCCCCGAGTCGCCGTCGATTCCAATCGTATGCCATTCTATAGTACAGGGCGGCCAGCCCCACCGCTCCTTTCGCGACTTTCCCTGTAAACACCACATCAGCTGGTCCACTACGCAGTCTCAAATGCTATCGAAATATGGCATATAATTATTCACTTTTCCGATTTGTTATATTGATGTTGTACAGTGATTTATCTACTCGATATGTGACAAAACAGTCTCGCGCGTTACCTGAGGATGGTTCGCACGCCGGACCGCAGTGACACTGCATCGGGGTGAGCTGTCAGGTCGCTTACACGGTGCCTGGTGCAGTCGTAGAGATATGCTATTATTACCCAATGTGTACCTCGTGCAGAACAGATGAGTGCTATTCTAAACTCTCTCAGGAACTTAGCAGGTTCGTCGAGGGCGAGCTCAGGTATGATCTTCATTAATAGTTGTTATATAAAAAGCATGAAACCTCACAAGTAGAGTCACATGTCACTCGCTTACAAACATTTCAGTTGATACCTATCTCATTTATATTCAGTTAGAGTCACGTCTCGAAAATTTTAGTATCGTACTACATTTGTTTAGGGCTAAATGATTCCTGCTCTTAGTAATTTATTATGCAAATTAGCGCCTTGGGCAGGTTTGAGCGGCATTAGGTAGAATTACTTTACATAGAAAATAAGGACATTATTGATATCCTTATAGTGTATATAATTATTTAAAAAATCCTAACTAAGCACAAACTTATTGTTTATTTTTATACTTAACAAGTTAGCTTAATTTATTACCATTAACCTTGTGGAAATCTACGTACTTGCTGCTACGAAACCGCGTAGCATTTGTAGCGTAGCGTACTTGAACAAGTTCTTCATAATGTGTGCCAAGTTCTAGATATGGCCTTCACCATTCTTGAGATTTTTCGTTCGTTCAATACTGTGGTCAGTTAATCATATAACAATGGTTCAAGCTATACAAATCCCACAATCTTTTAAATAATGCATTAATTTGGCTTAATGAATCTACTATACGGATACTAATTAATTGCGGACAGACTTATGATGTAATGAACTCCTGACCTACAACAATATCATTTTAACAATATTTAAAGTATGACAATATGGATATAAAATACCGCATTTTACGTATTCAGACTTTCAGCTTCGAATTGTTTCCCGCCCTAACTAACGTTTAAGGTTATAATAGTCGTAACTCTTCACTACAACGAATTCGTGAGAAAAATTTGAGCTTTACGTCTTTTTAAAACTTTTAAGTATAACTAATATGTTAAAAATACTTTTTTAAATCATGATGAAAAATTAAAAATAATAATATGAAATCAACCATCTTCCGCTTTTAACTTAAACAACACTGTCCTCTCCCTTTTTTCTCGTCAGGAAAATTTGTAAAATTTAGTATACACCAGCCACGGTGTTGTCTGGAAAATATCCCTTCTTAGCTATATTGCCGACGCCTCTGCTCACCATCCATGGTTATGTCTGCAACGAGCGAGTCTTTCACTCTCCTTCATCGATGTATGCAGCGAGCGAGTCCTTTATTCTCAATCCATAAATGTCTGTAACGGGCGAGTCACTGCTCACCATCGTTATTTATTTTATTTTATTTATTAGGACAAGGACAACCAACAAGACAAACACGCATACATGGAATTACTATAACTAAAAGTGCTTAGAACTAAGAGTTGTCTTAATTAAAGGCTGTTACGGCATGCAATGTGGACAGTTGCAAAGTTATGTCTGCAGCGAGCGAGTCTTTTGTCCCCTCATCCTGCTGCTGTCTTTTCCGAATACTATAATCTGGACCTTTTCAAGCCGAGAGTAAATATAAGCACTTACGGTACAGGTATATCCTAGACTGCCATTTTTTTTAATGGGGAAAAAATGCGTTGAATCGCATACCTACCCTGCGGGGACAGGGTAGGTTATGTGGGGCTCACCAAGTCAAAAGGACGAGGCATACCCACTAAAAAGACCCCGGTGCTCCGTCACTCACCATAAGTGGGAGGAGACTGTGGGTTTCCGGACAAAGCCTTATACCACAGCCCCTCCCGGCGATTGCCCGCCTACACGGCGGGCCCTACAAGCCCAGGACGGGGGGCGACGGGAACAGCTGGAAGCACACAGCTGTTCCCGTCCGACGGTGGTGGTGAGTTGGTGACCTGTGCAATGCAGGCGGCCATCTGGCCCGATGGCCATCACCGAGATCCTAGACTGCCTCACTTAACATCAGGTGCAATTGCGGTCAAATACCTATCTTTTTCTGCATAAAAAAATCCTTATGTCTGTAGCGAGCGAGTCTTTTGCTCGCCATTTTATGTCTGCAGCAGGCGAGTCTTATAATCATCAATTTTCTGCTGTCTTTCCTGAACACTGTAATACGGCGAGAGTGAATAAGCACTTATAGGGCAGGTATCCTAGACTGCATTTCAGTAAACATCAGGTGCGAAAAATACTTGCTATGTTTTGCATAAAACAAATCCTATAGTCTGCAGCGAGCGTGACTTTTGCTCACCCTCCCTATAGGTATCTAAAACGAGCGTGACTTTTGCTTACTATCCCTACGTCTGCAGCCGGTCTTTTGCTCACCATCCTGCTGCTGTCTTTTCCGAACACTAAGAATCCTGGCCTTTTTAGGTACTTACTGCATCTGCATCTTTCTAGACTGCATCTCACTGAACATCAGGCAGGTGCGATTGCGGTCAAAAGGCAGGCAGTAAGGCAATTAGCCTTGTTCTGCATTAAAAAAAAATCTGTAGCGGGCGAGTCTTTTGCTCACCATCCCTTTGCCTGCAGCGGGCGAGTCCGGCGCGCGGTTCGGCGTGGCGCCGGGCGGCGAAGGCCCCGGCGAGGGCGGGTACGCCGAGTGGTTGCACGCGATGCGGCTGGTCGCGCAGCTGCCCGCCGGAGTGCCGCATCACTTTCGGAAAAAGCGTCACCGTCCTTATGTCTGCAGCGGGCGAGTCTTTTGCTCATCATCGCTATGTTTGCTGCGGACCCATCCATTAAAGTCTGCAGCGGGCGAATCTTTTGCTCACCATCCTGCTGCTGTCTTTTCCGAACACTAAGAATCCTGGCCTTTTTAGGCACTTACTGCATCTGCATCTTTCTAGACTGCATCTCACTGAACATCAGGCAGGTGCGATTGCGGTCAAAAGGCAGGCAGTAAGGCAGTTAGCCTTGTTCTGCATTAAAAAAAATTCTGTAGCGGGCGAGTCTTTTGCTCACCATCCCTTTGCCTGCAGCGGGCGAGTCCGGCGCGCGGTTCGGCGTGGCGCCGGGCGGCGAAGGCCCCGGGCCCGCCGGAGTGCCGCATCACTTTTGGAAAAATCGTCACCGTCGTTATGTCTTTTGCTCTCCTTCATCAGTGTCTGCAACGGGCGAGTCCTTTATTCTCCATCCATAAATGTCTGTAACGGGCGAGTCTTTTGCTCACCGTCCTTATGTCTGTAGCGGGCGAGTCTTTTGCTCATTATTGCTATGTTTGCAGCGGACTATTACTTTATTCTCCATACATTAAAGTCTGCAGCGGGCGAGTCTTTTGCCCGCCATCCTGCTGCTGTATTTCCCGAACACTAAGAATCATGGCCTTTTTAGGCACTTACTGCATCTGCAACTTTCTAGACTGCATCTCACTGAACACCAGATGCTATTGCGGTCAAAAGGCAGGCAGTAAGGCAATTAGCCTTGTTCTGCATTAAAAAAAAATCTGTAGCGGGCGAGTCTTTTGCTCACCATCCCTTTGCCTACAGCGGGCGAGTCCGGCGCGCGGTTCGGCGTGGCGCCGGGCGGCGAAGGCCCCGGCGAGGGCGGGTACGCCGAGTGGTTGCACGCGATGCGGCTGGTCGCGCGGCTGCCCGCCGGAGTGCCGCATCACTTTCGGAAAAAGGTACGTGAACTGATATGATGAAGACCTCCTCCTACTGTAAAGCTACTAACTGTTGCTTGCTTACTCCTGAAAAACATGTCAAGACCCAGATAAAGTTAGACATAAGAAACGTTGCTCCTCAAAAGACCTAATTAGTGGGTACTGGGAGGCAAATCATAACATAGCGGCGATCAAAATAGATCGAAACCGGTCGTACACCATTGGAATTACCTTGGGGTAAAGAGTCAATATTTGGTTGATCAGTTATCTAACGTTAGCGGCACTTGCTGCTAGGATTAGCAAAGAGAGATTTTTGGTCCTGCAGTTTTTTAATACAATTAAATGATAATACCTATAGAAAAATAGTTCAACAATTTAATGCAACATGAGAACGTTTACTACCTACTGATAAATAGGTATAAAAACTTTCTGATTTGTAAGTGATCTATCTGTTTACGTATTTTGATATATTATACGATTTATCCCCCTCACCTTTCTTTTTATAATGAAACTGCGAATACTTTTTATAACTTTTCCTGAAAAACCGTGCTCGTGTTTTCGCAATCAAACTTTACCTTGACGTCATTCATTTGCGTAAGGAGATCGGAGAACAGTCTAAATTTAGAGTTTCACAACATCCGCCGCGAAATAATTTAATACCTTAGGACCGATTCACAAAATCGTTATCAGAGTCGCTAAACTTTAAGGGTGTCCCTAGCTAGTCGTATCACGTTTACCAGAGGCGTACCTTTTTAATAATAAATGAAGGTAGATTTACGCGATAGTTTTATTTTGTTTATCGGATATTTTGTTGTAGCTATGGCTGACGCTAGCGGAGCGTCACCTGTCCTCAAGAAATGTGGAATGGACATTGGCGGAGCGTGCCTGTTTCCGAGGCACGGCTCAACCCGATGACACTGAGCTCGGCGCGCAGATTCTGAAGGTAATTACTTTTATATTAGTACAAGAATAGTAGGTAGGTAGATACCAGTATAAATTAACTGAGTTGGTTTTGAATTTTCTTGCTTGAAAGCACAAACTCTCGATCAAACCTGAGCATAGAATCTGAATTTTAAAATTCAGAATTTAAGACCTCTTTGAGCTTAAATTTGTTTTTCAGTTTAGATTCATGTGTATTTTCAAATTCTCTTAGCTACTCGTACTTACACAATACGTCCTACATATGTACCAGTATTCAGTATTATAAATTGCTGAGCTGTTCATGTAACTCTGTAATTTTGACTGTCGAATGCCATGCTGGTTCTACATTAAGTATATGTTAGAGAACAAAATTCCTCGGACAATACATTGTCCTTTGTATGCGTGGTCCCTACATAATGCTTAGCATACTACACGTTTCCATCATGACTCGCTTAGACACAAAGACATGCGTACCCTTGTTTGTTTTAGACCCAAACACACTACGTCGAATAGTGTTTGTTAGAAAATATAGTGTGCGTACAAGAAGTATTCTGTCTCTTGCAATTTCAAATGAACACATGAAATGACAAATTCCGTTTCTTCTCACGTTGTGTGCTTAAGCTTATGCATTGTTTATTCACAGGATCTACATCGAACTGGCTGCTCCCTATTTTGCGGGACGGAGGGACGCGAGAATCAGGCTATGCTTCGGAGGGTACTGTTAGCTTATGCAAGGTAAGCCCCTTGTAACATGTTAGAGTTAAGACAACACTAATAGCGATGAGTATAAACTAAGAGCAACACTACATAGTTATTAGGTATACTCGTACATTAGGTACACTTGAGTCGGCAGGACCTTTGATGCTATTAAGTATCCTGAACACAAAATTAGCGATCGCTACTTATAATCTCTTGATTGATGTTATGTTTAGGTAGATTATGTAGGTAATGTAAGGAGCTACTTATGTATTTTATGATTTAGGCATTACACGATAGGATAAATAAAGACATTTCGGACATTGTCTGGAATCTAAACCGAAGAACAATAAAGCGAGTCTGGCCTTGACCAAGCGATTTCGTCTCGCCACATTAATCTGTCGCACCACTTACTCAAGATAAGCTTGATCATGCACATTTGTATTCACGATTGTCTTATGTTGTAGATGGAACAAAGAAGTGGGTTACTGCCAAGGGTTCAATATGTTAGCTGCTATAATTCTTGAGGTCATGGAGAAATCAGAGGCTGATTCGCTAAAGGTATTCGGTAGAGGAATTAACTTAGGACATTACAATAGAAACATAATTTAATACTTGGTTTGAAACTTTCAGGTTATGATATACTTGGTGGAGGCAGTTCTTCCAGAAGGTTACTTCGCAGACGACCTTCGAGGGCTGTCAGCTGACATGGCTGCCTTCAGAGACCTACTAAGGCTTCGACTTCCGCGCCTAGCAAACCATATGGACCACTTGCAAAGAATATCTGATGGTAAAAGTAATTGCAGTTACTACTTTAACAAGGTTAAGTTTTTTATACATTGCTAGTATTCTGAAATTAATCGTTGTTCTGTCAGTATACGTTTTACCTGTTTACTTTGAGAAAACAATGTTTAATAATGAAATGCTTTATTACAGGTGGTGGTGTAGAGCCCCCTCTACCAGATGTGTTCACGATGCAATGGTTCCTAACATTGTACGCCACGTGGCTGCCGCGAGAGTCCCTGCTTAGGATATGGGATCTGGTGCTGCTGGATGGCAATGAAGTCTTGTTGCTCACGGCCCTCGCCATTTGGGATATGCTCCAAGAGTATGTAACTTAACAAATACCAGTTTAGTGACTTCTTTGACACTAACTTTATTTCCCTCAAAATAATAAATAATAAAATAAATAAATAAATATCCTTGGACATTTTACACTGCGCCTCTAGTCCCAAACTAAGCAAAGCTTGTACTATGGGTACTAGACGACGGGATAAACATACTTAAATACTTTTTTTTGTAAATACATACATATTATACATAGAAAACACCCAGACCCGTCACAGAAATTAAAATTCATGATTTCAATTTCTGCCCGGCCGGGAATCGAACCCGGGGCCTCTCGGCATAGTAGTCCGTTCTGAACCACTACACCAAACGGCCGACAAACAAAACAATGTATCATTTGAAAAAGTATGGTTCTCAAATTCAGGAAAGTAGGGTCAAAGTCTTAAAAGCGCTTTTGAAACTTAACTTCCAATATCTATACGAATCTGCATCAATTGTATAGGAATTAACATTGAAATTGAGTGAATCCATATACGACTTTAATGGAAGAGCATCAAAGGTAAGTCTTCTCTTTTTTGAGAATAATAAAGGGAAAACCGAAATCATCATTCCAGCCGAATCCTGTCAGCGCGTTCAGCAGACGAGTTCTACAGCTGCATGGGCGGCGGCGCGGGCGCAGTATATGAGGCGGGCGAAGCGCTGGTGGCGCGCGTGGTCGCCTTCGGATCCGTGCCTGAGCTGCCACGCCTACGTAGCCTGCACCGCTACCGCGTCACGCCACCCGCGCCGCCGCAAGCCCCGCCTAACTACCACCCGCCCCTACACTCCGCAGTAAGTCATATAAATAAGTGCAATATCATGGATTACTAATGTTTGGCCAAAAAACGTTTCCCAAATTATCACATCGCAAACAACGTTTCGCAAATTTTCATTTGGCAAATTCTCATTTGGCAAAACAACATATTGCAANCTCGTTGTTCTGTCAGTAAACGTCTTACTTGTTTACTTTGAAAAAACAATGTTTAATAATGAAAATATGCTTTATTACAGGTGGTGGTGTAGAGCCCCCTCTACCAGACGTGTTCACAATGCAATGGTTCCTAACATTGTACGCCACGTGGCTGCCGCGAGAGTCCCTGCTTAGGATATGGGACCTGGTGCTGCTGGATGGCAATGAAGTCTTGTTGCTCACGGCCCTCGCCATTTGGGATATGTTACAAGAGTCTGTATCTGGGTTATCATGTCAGTTAGACTTTTTCAAAAACTCCAACTAAGTTTAATAAGCGTTAATAGCTAAGGCTGGGTTGCACCATCTTACTTTAACTTTGACAAACGTCAAAAATATGTCAAATTCCATACAAAAAGCACCGGTTATCGTCATAGTTACGGTCAAAGTTGGGTGGTGCAACTCAGCCTAAGTATCTTCTTCGTCTTAACAGCAAATAGGTAAACGATTTGAAATAAGGAAATGGAGACACTTTTAGAGATATCAACTTCCAATATTATTACACATCGTTGTACAGAAATTAACATTGGAATAGTCATGAATAGTGCCAACCCTTATACGACCCGAATGCAAGTGCTATAAAGAATCTCTTTTTGATAATGAATAAGCAAAAATCTGAAATCTTAATTCTAGCCGAATCCTGTCAGCGCGTTCAGCAGACGAGTTCTACAGCTGCATGGGCGGCGGCGCGGGCGCAGTATATGAGGCGGGCGAAGCGCTGGTGGCGCGCGTGGTCGCATTCGGCTCCGTGCCTGAGCTGCCGCGCCTACGTAGCCTGCACCGCTACCGCGTCACGCCGCCCGCGCCGCCGCAAGCCCCGCCTAACTACCACCCGCCCCTACACTCCGCAGTAAGTCATATAAATAAGTGCAATATCATATTATCTGCCATAAGTGCTACCTTTATAAAATGCATCAAGCGTAGTAGCGTCACCGCTACAGATTCACGCCGGCTGCTACGTTGTAGCGTAGCACCGCTACGGTCACGCCGGCTGCTCCGTCGTAGCGTAGCACCGCTACAATCACGCCGGCTGCTACGTCGTAGCGTAGCACCACTACAGTCACGCCGGTTGCTACGTCATAGCGTAGCACCGCTATAGTCACGCCGCGCCGGCTGCTACGTCGTAGCGTATCACCGCTACAATCACGCCGGCTGCTACGTCGTAGAGTAGCACCGCTACAAATTCACGCCGGCTCACGGTGGTCCCGATTTAATAAAACATGGACATTGATGCTAGAAGCACGAAATTTTTTTTGATGATTACTGCTATGATAACTAATAAGGCAAAAAAATATTACAGTCCTACGACGTCTATTTCGTAGTAAAAAAAAATATATAGATATTTTTTGTATGGAAGAAATTACGTTTCTGTCAATTTTTCGAAATTCTTAAACGATGTCAAGATGCCGATCACACATGTTATAAAACAAGTGATTCTGAGTATTTCATGCGAAGATACTTGTCACTTATCTCTGCGTACTTTTGAGTTATCGAGGGTTGAAAAATCGATTTTTTTATATCAAATATTTCCACGAAAAATTGCCAAAATTACAATATGGTGTATAAGGGACACCTTTGATGACACATAACAACGACTCGCAATCGCGCGCGCTCTTATGCATCAGCTTTTAATAAAATAAAATAAAAAATTAAGGGAAATACTTAATACAACGTTGTATGTATAGGTCCGCTGGCCGTCAAAAAGGTTAGCGCTAGTTAAATCATGTAATTTGTCAAAATGGCAATATCGCAATTTGAGATTCATTCTCGCTTCAGAGAGTATTTATGGGCTTCCATCCTATCAAGAGCTTCTGGAAACAAAAAAAAACTTGTTATCCTTCAGAGAGAGATGATATTTGTGTGAGTTATCAATGATAGACATATTGTAAATTGGGCAACCTCTCGTATAAGCTACTTTTTGACGGCCAGCGGACCTATACATACAACGTTGTATTAAGTATTTCCCTTAATTATTTTTTTTATTTTAGTAAAAGTTCATGCATACGAGCGCGCGCGAGTGCGAGTCGTTGTTATGTGTCATCAAAGGTGTCCCTTATACACCATATTGTAATTCTGGCAATTTTTTGTGGAAATATTTGATATAAAAAAATCGATTTTTCAACCCTCGATAACTCAAAAGTACGCAGAGATAAGTGACAAGTATCTTCGCATGAAATACACAAAATCACTTGTTTTATAACATGTGTGATCGGCATCTTGACATCGTTAAAGAATTTCGAAAAATTGACAGAAACGTAATTTCTTCCATACAAAAAATATGTATATATTTTTTTTACTACGAAATAGACGTCGTATGATTATAATATTTTTTTGCCTTATTAGTTATCATAGCAGTAACCATCAAAAAAATTTTCGTGCCTCTAGCATCAATGTCCATGTTTTATTAAATCGGGACCACTGTGCGGCTGTGCAATCTGTGCATCGTAGCGTTGCGTAGCGTAACGTGGTCCTGCTACAGATTGACGCCGACCCTGTTACCTAAAACCTTCGCACTTGTCGAGTGGCTTTTACAAGGTTTACGTGAGCGTGATTATAATAAGTCAAGCAGAAGATAATAAATATTATTTCAGCATTATTGTTTATTTTCAGATGCAAACTATGACAAAACGTGGTTTGCGTTTATTCTACTCAGAAGATGAAGGTGACTCCAGTGACGATGGAAATAGAATGGCCTTAGCTACGGTAATCATAACTACATAGTACATATATTACTTTTTAAAGTTATAATATTTTGGATCTTATTGTAATACGAGAATCGTTTCTCATAGGTGATTCCACGAAGAGAAGAACGAGTAGGCGCCGGTGACCGACTTTCGTTAGACATCGGAGCACTAAAACGCCAGTACGCACGCCTAAGAGAACGTCAAAGACAAGCTCATGTGATATTAGCTGCAGCCTGCGCACGACATGCCGCTGGTAATATAAGATACTGTTATTTTTCAGAGGTATGTATTTTAACTATATTAAATTAACTAATTAATTCATGTTTCAGTTGGAGTACCAACATCGCCAACGTCATTAACAGTCAACAACCTATTGTTGGGGAAAAGCGCCATCGTCAGCTCTCGAGGAAGAAGACTCGGGCCACCGCTAGGCGCGGTGCCCCCTACGAGACAAACTTCATCTCCCCGAGAACACGTGGAAAGACACCACAGAGGGCGGTCAACTGACACTATCAGCTGGAAGGAGGAAAAAAGCCGTAAATCAATAAGCAGACGCAATTCGCTCAAATGGAAAGACATTAAAAAAGAAAAATCTTCTGAGAAGATAAGAAAAGCGTCAATCGATCTGGACGAAGCCGGTGATGGAGTAATCGTGTCCGAAATTGAAGCTAATCAGATGATAGCATCTTTAAGATCGCGCAGTTCCAGTGAAACTTCCTCATATTCGTCACGCACTGCGACTAGCACAGATACTAGTCTTTGTGACGAAAACGAAAAAGGTAGTGATTCTGAACCGGAACTGCCTGACGATGATAAAGATAAAACTGCTGGAACAATCAAAGAAAAGAAAGCACCAATTTCACCAAAAAAGGTAGTGCGTTCTCCGCTTGTTAAGGAAACTAGAATTAAATTTTCACCTGAAAAAGAATATAAGCCTACTGAATTAGATAACTCTGTTAAAAATATTTCTGATTATCTTGATTCGGCAGCTGGTGAACCCCTTAGAACATACATTGATGGATTTGAATCTAAACTAAAAGAAACCGTCATCGTAAACTCTGAAAGTGATCATTTTAAGCCTGTTAGTCCTTTTAAAAGTATATCTCCATATACGCCCCATTTAAGTTCAGATAGGAGTGAAATTTTACAAAGATTAAGCAATAAAAAAACCGAAGAAAAATTAGGCAGTGATGAACTAATACGGCCTAAAAACCTTTGCAAACCGCCGAAAAATATAACTGAACTAAGTCCAATTGACCTATCCATTTCGTATAAGTGTAGTTCAGGCCTGGAATCTCCATATAATTTAGATTTCCAGGCAAATTTCAAACCGCCATCCCAATCGAGTATTGCTTCTTCGAGACCTCCGGATATTATAGACAGTTTTGTGATGTACCCTAACTTTGTGCCTGACATAGATTTATCAGATAAAAATGTTTCGGACTTAGAAAGTCCACCAAGAAGTCCAGGTGCTGAAAGTATAATAGTAAGCGAAGATGAACCTCCCATTCCTTTAAAAATAGATAAGTATTTTGAGCATAGTCCTGAATTTTTCGGTGCCCGTGTGACAGATCCGAATAACTCTGAAATACCTAATAGAAGGGCTGTGAAAAGACATTCAAGATTCCCAAAAAAACCAGACTCATTAACACTTCAAACTAATCACAATGAAAAGTTTGTTATATTAGAAACAGAAAGAGCGTCATCTTTACCACAAAGTCATAGTTTCACTCACAAAAAATCTCCAAGCTTGGATTTAACAAGTAGTGATATCAAAACCAGTGAAACAGATTTCAAACAAGAGAAATCTATTAAAAGCCCATTACTACAAAAATCTGAAACACCAGTAAAATCTCCACGGCCAAAAGAACACGAAAATGTTTCACCTAAAGACCATATTATTCGATCTGGAAGGAAAAATAGTGAAAGAGCATTACAAATTATTCAAGAAAACTCTAAAATATTAAGCAGGATATTAACAAAACAGAATATTGTGGAAACTTCTCAACCAAAAAAAGTACATGACATCGAAACCTGTGTAGATACAAATTCTAAGACACAAGTAAAGTACAATGATATTCCTGAAAACAAGCCAATTGAATCGCCTTTACTCAAGGAATCCACTTCAGATTCTCTAATAGGTTACAGAAAACGTAATGTCGGTGATGTATCTGCAGACAAAAGTGATTTTATTCGTGTAAGACCAATTTCAATAGATGATCCTTCTTCTTTAGAATTACGTAATAATATAACAAAAAATCCCGAGTTTAGTATAAAAAATGTAAAATCACCCAGTAATGAAAGTCTTGGTAATAGAACTGATTTATATGGGTGGGAAAACAAAGGTTTCCTAGCAAAATGTGAATATAAAAGTGTATTTGACAAGGCTGAAAAAAAATACGATTTCAGTTACAAAAGAAAAACATGTGATTTGTCGGGTTTGGAGGATTTATCTGCTGATCTTAAAGCCATTGGCTCGGGTGATTGGGCCAGGCATTCTTTTTCCGGAGAATCTAAAGCTTCTGTCACTCTGCCTTCAACAGAGCCTAAAGATCCTTCTACATGCGAAAAACGTTACACTTCAGACGAGTATCAATATCCGTTTTCAAGCAAATACAATGACTTTGTTTTGTCTAAAGCTAGCGACATCTGCAGTCAAACTATCGATGAAGGGCCGAAGGCTTGTGAAAAAATATCAAAGACTGATTCAAGCCAAGTTAGTGACTTCGCTCATGTAGTAACGTCCTCCATTAGTTTCACGTACGAACCTTCTGTCGAGGACGACTCGCCAACAGGGATGAAGAGCAACTCCAGTGATACATTGTGTCAAATCACGTCACTGGACCAAGTATCCACGCCGATATCACCCAAGATATTTCCTAGAGAGACTCCTACATTTCCCAAAGAGTACGCTGAAAAAAGTGATAAGACAATAGTAGAATCGGACGACACGTGTAGTGCGATCACTTCTCTAATAGAAACGGATACGCTTTCATCGTTATCTTATCCCCGTAGTCCTTCCACGGGGTCCTATCACCCGTTCCCGACGCGACCTGCGATGCGTATGCCCAAAGAACTCGGAGTCAGACTAGGCATGTATCCCAAAGATGTTATCAATTCTTCTCCGAAGTGAACTACTATTTAGTTGTATTTTAAACTGCTAGAATTTAGTTGTGTGAACTTACTTTTTAAGTTTTTTACTGATATTTTACGCTTGATTATGTACTAACTATATTACGATGTTTCTAAGGTAACCTTGTTTTGAAATTTATTTTCTAGTTTTGCATTTTTACGAATCTTGATATAGCATTAAAATTTAGGTAAAAATACCATCCGTTTTAAATCTTTGTAATTCAGTATCAGCTTGGTATCTGAAAGTAATCGCTTAAAATTCTTCTTAGCACGATTGGAATATGTAGAGCTTTGTTATTTAATAATAATGTAAGCGGAAACTTTAGAATAATTGTTAATGTTATGATTTTGAAGCTGTTCGTATTCCAATCTGTAATTTGAGCTAGGGACAAAACAAACACGTTGCCTTGATCCATTGAAAAATGATATTGTAATCCTTCGCAATATAAATATATTTATAGATTAAGAAGATAGACTACTTGTTCAAGGTCAATATACGATACGGCAGAATTACTGTTTATACCACTAAAGGGTAAACTTCTATCTTTGCAAAAATGAAAGAGATTCGGTTGTTAGAAAATGATATTTATTCTACGACAATATTGATAAAATATACATTACATTATGACTGCGAATGCGCTGTTTTATTATATTAATTATCTTTAGTTAGAGAATTCCTCAGAAGTCATCTAGTACTGGCGGGCATGTGCATACAAGATGTTTGTCTCCATACATATCGTCGATGCGTCCTACTGTTGGCCAAATCTTCGTCTCGCCTTTGACAAATGGCTAAAAAGATAACATATTTATAATTATGTAACTGGACGTAAATAGATTACAATTAAATCAAAATGAAAATTAACTTACAGCTGGGAAAGCGGCTTGTTCCCGACTGTACGGACGATTCCAGTCTTCTGATATCACTTCTTCTTGCGTGTGTGGGGCCATCTGTTGAGAAGGAAAAAATACATTAGCATTATTTGTATTCAAAATAGGTAAGTAATAAGTAACTTTTACATAAAAGCCTGTTCACACAGCAGACCTGTTTTAAGAAAGGGTTTTAGACAAGTTCGATTGGACCGATATAAAAAAAACTCTGGCCTACCTTCAAAGGATTCAAACGTTTGTCCATAACGCCATCCTCAATGTCCTTGATTTCCTTCCTGATGGTAATGAGCGCTTCGCAGAACCGGTCCAACTCCTGGAGGTCTTCAGATTCTGTGGGCTCAATCATCAGCGTTCCAGCTACCGGCCAAGACATTGTAGGCGCGTGGAATCCTAAAACAAAAATATGGTGACATTTGTAGAGATTTCTTTCTTCAGAAATAATAATAAATAATAATAATAAATATGTAATAATAATAATAAATAAATATCCTTAGACATTTTACACTGCGCTTCTAGTCCCAAACTAAGCAAAGCTTGTTAAATACTTTTTTTTTGTAAATACATACTTATTATACATAGAAAACACCCAGTCCAATAAAAACAAATATGTTCATGCACACAAATGTTTGCACTGTGCGGGAATCGAACCCGCTACCTCCGGAATAGTAGTCCGTTTCGAACCACTACACCAAACGGCCGACGAAACGATTAATTGCTTTACAATGCACAAACACTACTGAACATAACACTACTGGACATTTGAAAAAGATTATGTTTAGTTGTTTAAAGATGTAGGTCGTGTAACAAAAGTTGAGGCCATCAACTAAAGCAAAGATTTGTATCTGTATACGCTGTCTGCGCAGACGTGTTGCGCAGTAGGACAAGTAATCGCTTGCTTGCTGCTTTAGCTACCGCAACATAAAGTTTGCAGTCAAGATGAAGATTTAATAGTCCGCTTTAGCGTGGCTTTAGCCTACGCGCAGACCACCGACTTTTAGTTGGCCGATAGTTAAGTCGGGCTGTTAATCAGTATGGATATGTATGAAAGTGCGCACATTGCACCGATTTGGTATCGGCCGATTCTTTATACAAATTAAAATAGGGCCCAACTATCGGCCAACCAAGTCGGTGGTCTGCGCCTAGGTTTAGACGTTTGGTCACATCCTCAGATTTTTCTAAAACACTAACCGAAGTCCATGAGTCGTTTCGCGATGTCTCCAGGCTCGATATTAGCAGTCTTCTTGAGGTCCCGTACGTCGATGATAAACTCGTGCGCAACCAGACCGCGCTCACCCTTGTACAGCGTTTTGTAGTGGCCGTCTAGCCGGCGGGACATGTAGTTAGCATTCAAAATGGCCACTTGCGTAGCCCGCTTTAGACCTTTTGGTCCCATCATCTGAATAACAGAGATACATTGAACATTATTAGGAGAACGAGAATTTCAAAAAGAAAATATAATTTTAACATTTTGGATAGAAAAATGATATTGAGTGAATGAATGGTTTGAGCGTTGTTTCCCAGTACTGGCTCGGGTACTCGTGTCAGATATTCATTACATTGTCACCTGTATTTTTGCACCTGAATAAATTCATTTGCGTGCTTTCATATTCATACTTGCCTTTATGTACGCCCAAGAAATGGGCAAAATGGCCGACGATCCGAACGGGGCTGCGCTGACGGAGCCAAAGCTGTGAGCGGCATCTCCTAAGTCCGCCAACGGGTCTACTACTGGATGCGAAGGTAGGAAGGGCGCCAAGTGGGCTTTGCTAAAAGAAGACGTGAATCAATCATAAATAAATAAAATATTCACGCATACATTCACACATACATATACATATTTGCATTTATATTAGTGCGGTACGCGAACTTCTAAGCCAGACAGCCGTCTTATTGAAACCAATTTCTTACTGAAAAGCGCACCGTCTAACAAGAGAAGATCTAAAAATTATATTTGTGTGAATACTCACACACCAATAGGCCCCATACCAGGACCACCGCCTCCGTGAGGAATACAGAAGGTTTTGTGCAGATTCAAATGCGATACATCGCTGCCGTAGTCTCCCGGTCTGCAAAGTCCGACCTAAAAAAGGTAATTCACGATTTATATACTGACATTGACAATGTTCAAGTTAAGTTGTACACTGATATTATGTTCAAATGTGTCCCCGCCATACACGGACAACTTAAAGCAGTTAGTATGAACAGCTTCAAGATGTGACTGCATAAAGGTGCGCTTAAGCAGTTGTGACTACTTCGGGCAGCACGGTGTTTCATCGTGACAATGGTCCGTCATACACGAATAGCTCGAGCATTCATAGTAAAATTAGAAATTTAGACAGGGTCTGACTTAAGACACTTATGGAAGATATTTTAAGGTAAGTAGTAAGTATGTAGAGAGTACCATTTTCAGGGGGGACAGTTGTCTTCACCTGCCCACAGTGCAGGGGGGCAGTGTGGCTGTGCCCACAGGGCCGCAGGGGTAATGTGGCTCAGGTGGGCAAATTAGATTTTTTAGGTAGTATCCGGTGTTAGACACGCTCCACGTAGGGAGTACCATTTTCAGGGAAGGTAATTGCCTTCCCCTGCCCCCTTCCACTCAATATGTCCATGCAAATGCTTCCTAACTAAGACTTACTTACCTGGGTGGTCTGATTCCCCTAATTCTTACCTGTGCGTTCATGTTAGCCCCGTCAAGGTAGACCTGCCCGCCGTGCTTGTGCACGAGCGCGCACACGTCTGCGGCGCGCTCCTCGAAAACGCCGAATGTGCTCGGGTACGTCAGCATCAGGCATGATATGCCCACGCTTCTCTTATGTAAGTCTTACCTGCGCGTTCATGTTAGCCCCGTCAAGGTAGACCTGCCCGCCGTGCTCGTGCACGAGCGCGCACACGTCGGCGGCGCGCTCCTCGAACACGCCGAATGTGCTGGGATACGTCAGCATCAGGCACGATATGCCCACGCTTCTCTTATCAGTCTTACCTGCGCGTTCATATTAGCCCCGTCAAGGTAGACCTGCCCGCCGTGCTTGTGCACGAGCGCGCACACGTCGGCGGCGCGCTCCTCGAACACGCCGAATGTGCTCGGGTACGTCAGCATCAGGCAGGAAATGTTCGCGCTATGCTCCTCGACCTATGGAGAAAAATAAACAAAAACTTTATTAATGCTTATGCAGAGATGAATTTGGCGTCTTCGATCATCTTCTTTCAGTAACGTTTAATGACGGCCAGCAATTTACAATGACCCGATAGTTTAGAACAGTGGTTCTTAACCTTTATGTCATGAGGGACCATTTTACCTAATTTCTTTCTTGTCAGGGACCACACACAGTGGCGGCGTAGTAGCGGGGAGGTAAGACACCCCAGAATGGTCTGGTGCCCCCCATGATGTTGAGGTCATCACGTCACGTCACTTGTTTATTACGATGTCTTCGCGGACCACTTGGAATGCCTCCAGGGACCACCAGTGGTCCGCGGACCACCGGTTAAGAACCACTGGTTTAGAAGCTGGCCGGTAAGCAATAACCTAACACTACAAGACACGAGAAACTAAATACCACATAAGTTATTTATAGAACTTCGTACAACTTTGGTTCAAATTCTAAAGGGTCGTAAAAATGGACTGAGTAAAGTTGTTTTATACTGACAACAGTATCTACTTATTGCACAGCTCTCTTTGCTGGCTTCTTCTATAGTGGAATCGTAATAATAACTGAGCATAATCAAATGATGAAGAGAAGGTGCAAGAGGTAGTATAACCAATTGACAATAGAAGTACACTTTTCAATAAACAATAAAATAGAACCCCTACCATATCCTTCAAGTGCTCCATGTCAATATCCCCGGACGGCGTGACGCGTATCGCGCACACTCGCATGCCGGCCATGTGCGCAGACGCCGGATTGGTCCCGTGCGCGCTGACCGGGATCAAGCAGATGTTCCGGCCGGTGTCGCCGCGGAACTCGTGGCTTACCCAACGAGGTACTTTTTCAATAAACAAGTAAATACAGGGTGGAAACGTTAAGTGATCTCACTCGATTATTTCTAAACTATACAAGATATCGAAAAACTGATTACTGATTCTAAAAGTGCTTCACAAGCTCTTTCAAACGGTACCAATGATAGGTTACATAATAAACTGGATCTATCCAAAAATTCAATGTTTCCAGCTTCCATACATTTAGTACAGCCACAGTCATGGCACTCATGTCTTGATAATATTATAGCAAGTAAAGCTTAAAACCAATGTTTTCCATGAATAATTTTAAAAAGAATGCAATTTAAGAGTTAATTTTAAGTGTTTATTGTTTAATAAAAAAAATTAATACTTCTAATTTTGTTTGGCTGGCATACATTTAGTATGGAGGATGAAAACATTTAATTTTCGGATAGATCCAATTGATTCTGTAACCTATTTTTGGTACCGTTGGATAGAGCTCGTGAAGCACTTTTAGGATCAGTAACCAGTTTTTCGATATCTTGTATAGTTTAGAAATAATCGAATGAGATCACTTATCGTTTCCACCCTGTATAACCCCTACCATATCCTTCAAGTGCTCCATGTCAATAT